AACTCTGGGCCTGGGCGCTGTCCCTCAGCTCTTCAGCTCAAGGCTAGCACTCTACCACTTGAGCCACAGCGCCACTTCCGGCTTTTTTCTTTTTTGCTTATGTGGTGCTTAGGAATCGAACCCAGGGCCTTGAGCATGCAAGGCAAGCGCTCTACCACTGAGCCACCTTCTTAGCCCCCAGAAGCAAGTTTTAATTCTTTATTTTTGTAGTTAGATATTTGATAAGTGTGTTTCAAAATTGGAAAGGTAAAATAATGTTTTTTTAACTTTTGCATAATCATAGAAATTTTGTGTCCAGTATCTAATGTAGAAAGACCTAAGGCAGTGTTGTCTTCAGTAACTTTAAGACATTTTTGTTTTTGCAGGATTAATCACTCCAGAAGATCGGAAATATGGAACAACCAATCTTCACTTGGATGTATCTGATGCAGCTAATGTCATGGTTTATGTGGGAATTCCCAAAGGACAGTGTGAGCAGGAAGAAGGTGGGTTGTCAAGTGCTTTTGTAACAGGCATGAAGGCCCTGAATTCAAATCCCAGTTTCCCCGCTACCCTCACTCCCTAAAAAGTAGGCTAGGTGCTTGAGCTCTGATATTTGCTTTCTCTTGCTCTAGAAGTCCTTAGAACCATCCAAGACGGAGATTCTGATGAACTTACAATAAAACGATTTATAGAAGGAAAAGAGAAGCCAGGAGCCCTCTGGCACATATATGCTGCTAAGGACACAGAGAAGATAAGAGAATTTCTTAAAAAGGTGTGATCCTTCACTCTTGACATTTGAAAAGAATAACATTGTTAAGAATTACTACTTACATACTGTAAACCAACTGGCATGTCAGATTGGGTAGGCTGACAGTGGTTGCTAAGAAATAAGGATTTTAAAAGATGAGGGCTGTGATTCTAAAGAGAGAGGCTTTATCTTTTATGATTGTTCTATATTACAGTGCATTGGGAGATTATTGTTGTCAAGTTAGTTCATGTGGTGTCTCCTAATACGTTTTTTACTTCTTTGAAATCTGAACACTTCGGGGGCTGGGAAGGTGGCTCAGTGGTAGAGCGCTTGCCTTGCATGCATGAGGCCCTGGGTTTGATTCCTCAGCACCACATAAGCAAAAAGAAAAAATCCAGAAGTGGCCTTGTGGCTCAAGTGGTAGAGCACTAGCCTTGAGCTGAGGAGCTGAGGGACAGCACCCAAGTTCAGAGTTCAGGCCCCACGAAAGGACCCCAAAAAAAAAATCTGAACACTTCAGATTTTTTTGGCCCCAGTGTAAAAGAGTTTGGAACAGTCTGGTTGGCAGGTTGTCCAGGAAGGGCACTATATAGTAGTTCTGCGTCATTGTGCGCCGAGGCTGCTGGTTACAATCAGCTGACAAACATTTTCCCTCCTTGAGCATGGCTGTGAACATTCCTCCCCCACTGCATGACAATGAAGTAGGTCTTTAACATGGAGTCAAGATGACTTGACTCCAGAAAATCTGCTTCTTACTATGTATAGACCCTGGGAATTTTCAGAACTCGATTTTTCAATGAAAGCTGTAAAGCATTTAGTTTTCCTAAGGAGCCTGAGTTTATCATTTGTCAGTATCCAGTATCTCTTTTTTTTTTTTTTTTTTGCCGATTGTGGGGCCTGAACTCTGGGCCTGGGCCTGGGCACTGTACTTCAGCTCTTTAGCTCAAGGCTAGCACTCTACCACCACAGCACCACTTCCAGCTTTTTCTGCTTATGTGGTGCTGAGGAATCAAACTCAGGGCCTCATGTATACAAGGCAAGCACTCTACCACAGAGCCACCTTCCCAGCCCTTGTCCTTATCTCTTTAGTACTACTTTTCTCTGCTAACTGGGACACTTCAGTTGACAAAACCCCAACATTTACTGCATACCAGCACTATTCAGTGGGGGAAATGCTTGTCTTGAGTCTTAGTACATTGCTCAGTTGCTTGCTATTTTGAATGTGTTTCTAGGTATCAGAAGAACAAGGTCAAGAAAACCCAGCAGACCATGATCCTATTCATGATCAGAGCTGGTATTTAGACCGGTCGCTAAGAAAGCGTCTTCATCAAGAATATGGCGTTCAGGGCTGGGCTATTGTACAGTTTCTCGGGGATGTGGTTTTTATCCCAGCAGGAGCTCCACATCAGGTAACAACTATTCCACACATTCATTTTTGTTTATTATCTTTCTACTGTGATCTTTTGAGTTTGTGAACAGATGTGGGTTGGTGTTTTTCAGGTTCATAACTTATATAGCTGTATCAAAGTGGCTGAAGACTTTGTGTCTCCAGAGCATGTTAAACACTGCTTCTGGCTTACTCAGGAATTCCGTTATCTGTCACAGACTCACACCAACCATGAAGACAAATTGCAGGTAAAAATAGCATTGTCATCTCTGGCTTGATGGCCCATAAAAGTCCTTAGACCCAACCTTAGATTCTGATGAACTCACAGTGAAACGATTTATTAGAAGGACCTTATAGAGAGGGCCAGTGGACTTGGAACAGTAAGTCCCATGCATCAGGGCCCAAGAGCTGGGTATGGAGGCCAAAGCAGGAGGATCCCAAGTTCCAAACCAGTTTGGTTTCCATAATGAGATCTCATGTTACCCTCCCCAGTCCTTACCCCCAAAATACCTAGTTCTGCTATCTACTTAGGTGAAGGAGGAGCAAACCTAGACTAGGAAGAAATTCACGCTGGCTTGAAATTTACTTTCTGGCCTGTGCACAAAGAGAAAGGCTTTACTACTAAAAACGGAGCCTACCTAGTTCTCACTTCTGACTCTAGTTCAGCAGCAATCAGGAGCTGTGAACCAGGGTGCTTGCGCTTTAGTGCTACAGGGCATATGGCATTAGACTATGTGGAATACTGATCTGAAGAAGCCTGAGCCATACGGGCATTTCTTGATGAATTCTGACAGGTGGTCATTACATTCAATGCACATTGTGTAAAAGTTGAACTATATTACTTGAGGGTAGGGACGGAATGCGGAAAGACTTTGCTCAAGATGCATTATCCTCCAACCTTTGTACAACTACTTTATAATAACTCTTGACAAAAAGTGGAGATGTGTGGATAATTGGTGGTAGGGATATTTTTGTGACAAGAGTTTTTTATTTAATGGTAAACGATCACCTTTTCTTCCATTCTTTTAGGTGAAAAATGTTATCTACCATGCAGTGAAAGATGCAGTTGCTATGCTGAAAGCCAGTGAATCTGGTTTTAGCAAACCGTAACCCCTCCCTGCACATTGGAAATGAATCACTGGCAGCTGTTCAAACTCTTCAGGCAGGATTCCTGTGGACGTTGAGATTTCATGTTACCTCATCTTCTTTTTTAAACTGTACCCGACTTGTGAGGGTCCTCTGTCTAATGTATATTTCTAGTGTTTACAGACACTAAGTGTGTATATGTAGGAACTATTTACAGACCATGCATCCTTATACTGTGACTTCTCACCTAGTGCAGATTTTACCACGTTGTAAAACAAAACCTCTTACCAGCTCTGAACAAATACCTGCAGTTATTCCCCAGCTGTTTGGACAGCTTAGTCAAATGGGTTTCTAACTTAGGAATTACTGCACAGTTAATTTGAGTTTTACTTTATTTCATGTCTGTCTGAGCACCCTGCCCCACCTGTTAGGGTCCAGAACAGCCAAGGAGGAAGTGACAGCTAATGATGCAGTTCTTATTGTATTGCATAGGACTGGCATTATACAGAAGTCAACTACTGTACGATTCTTGGGGTTAACCATCTTTAGTTAAATGGAATTTTAATTTAAATGGAGCTTTGCTAATTTTAAGTGTTAAGCATTTTGCATTAAAATATTCATATAATATGTTGGCTCAGTTTATAATTGTGAGATATTTTATTATTTTAAGGTTTTTTTTTCTTAAAATACCCCTTCCTGTGAAGGAGAAACATTCATAAAGACCCAGTGCTGTGGTTCTCCTAGTCTACTTCAGAGGTAATGACAGGAATTTTTTTTTTTTTCATTTTGCTTATGTGGTGCTGAGGAATCGAACGCAGGGCCTCAGGCATGCAAGGCAAGCGCTCTACCACTGAGCCATCTTCCCAGCCCCATGACAGGAATTTTGAGGTCAAGTAGCAGGTAAGGCCCGAAGCTTTAGCCTGGGGAGCTGAGTTAGGTGGCCAGGAGAAGTCATTTACTGCCAGCCACCTTGAAGCCAGAATTTATTTTTTTCACCAGTCTTGGGGCTTGAACTCTTTTGCTCCAGGCTAGCACTCTTACTACTTAAGCCACAGTGCCACTTCCAGCTTTTTTTTGTTTGTGTTATTGAGGAATTGAACCCAGGTTTGAAAGCCAGAACTTTCAATAGATGAATTTTTTTTAATTCTCTGAAGTTTCTCTGAAATTCCTTTATTCAGATTTGGATCTAAATTTTCACTCTTGCTTAGAAACTAACACTAAAAAGAATAGGAGTGTCCAGATCCTCTCTGGAGGAAGCCATCTTCAAAGGAGTGGCAGAGACAGGGTAGTCTGCAGTACTGAGCAGCAACAAGGCTATCTAGTAGTAATAGTACTTAATAAATGCATTTTATACTTAAGTAGTTACAATTGTGACGAGTTGTCATCTTCGGTGTTGAACATCTGTAGGTTCTTAGAATCAGCCAGTGTGTACTGAAGAGTGGGGCATATGGTCTTCAAAGGAGTGAGTCTGCACACCCAACTTCTCAGCAGCAACTGTGGGAGTCAGGGAACAGGTGCTATTCTTAATACATGCTGGAAAACACAACTGAAAATGTCTGGAGCAAACAAAACTACTTTCCCATATATATTTTTTAATTTTTTTTCCCAGTCGTGGGGCTTGAACTCTGGGCCTGGGACCAGCTCTTCAGCTCGAGGCAAGCACTCTACCACTTGAGCCACAGTGCCACTTCTGGTTTTCTGCTGGTTTATTGGAGATGAGTCTCACAGATATTCCTGCCCAGGCTGGCTTTGAACTGTAATCCTCAGATCTCAGCCTCCTGAATAGCTAGGATTACAGGTGTGAGCCACCATCACTGGCCCCGTTTATATTTTTTAGACAAAAACATTCTGAGACCGCTGCAGTTTCTACAGATAAGTCCCAACTTTTTTCGGTTGTATGTTAATATGTAATACGATTAACGTGACAAAATAACATCAAAAGCTTTCATTTTGTGCACATACACACAAAAGTGATACTTGTACATGATTTGTGTGAGACTTATCCTGAGAACACAAGCCCCAATTCTCACTTGAAAACCAAATTCAGATACTTCACTACATTAATAGAATTCAAGAGAAACTTTTATTGCAATAAGAGCAGAAAGGGCTTTTGATAAAATTAGGCATTTCATAGTATGTCACCAGTAAAGCAGGTAATATGCATGTGAAAAAACAGCATACAAAAATAGCATTTCTAAGTTAGCAATAAAATGTTTAAGAATACTTGATAGTAAAACAATTTTCTAGGAACTGAAAAATACAGGAAGGACTTATACAAGGAAAACTAGAAATATGGCTGAGAGAAATGAAGATACATACTTCATTCCTGGATTGCAAAACTGTTTTCAGAGATCAGTTCTCCCCAACATGGATCTACAGATGATTAGAAGACAATTTTTTTGAGGCACTTCATTGCCAGCATTGGGAATTGAACTCTGGGTGCATTAAGCCTTTCCTCCAGTCCTCCCCCCCCCCCCCCCCCGCTTTTTTTTCTTTCTATCATGTACTACTATCACCATAGAGTCTTGTGGACTTTTCTGATTGGGCTAATCTGGGGTTGTGATCCTCCTAATATTAGCCTCCTACATAGCTTGACAAGTGTGCCACTGCACCGAACTATGAGTTAGTTGAGCTTTTCTGCCTCTGCTGGCCTCAAATTACAATCCTAAGTAGCTAGAACTCACAGGTATGAGCCACTGGTGCTCAGCTATTTTTTTAAATCATATTTAGGTGGTACTTGGGTTTGAACACAAGGACCTTGTGGCCAGATAGTCTCACCACCTGAACCGTGATGTCATCAGCCTTGCTTTTGTTCTTGTTTTGAACAAGATGTGTGATGGTGAACATCCTAAAAAAGGTTTCCCTATGACCAAAATGCCTTTTTAAAATCACTCAGCTCAGGATCCCTTTTGTAATAAGCTCTGTAGTGGAGGTATCTATCTTTCAGTCTCATTTACATCACTTAGGACTAATTAGGACTTGAACTGGTACCAAACTCATACAGCAAAGTGTGATGAGTAAAAAATTCATCTTTGACTACCAGAATCTTAGAAAACTGTAGCAAGCTACCTTGTTAACTTGCAAGTAGGGTACAATGTTCATAGAATACAATTCAAGAATTACACATACACCATTACAAGCATTTAAGAAACAACAATGCCTGAGGAAGGAAATGCACTAAACTTTTTAAACAATAAGCTAAGAAAAGTGGTCCCACCATACATTGAAAAACTAAGGCAAAATAGAAATCAAAAGCTGATCAAGGGGCTGGGAAGGTGGCTCAGTAGTAGAGTGCTTGCCTCGCATGCATGAGGCCCTGGGTTCGATTCCTCAGCATCACATAAACAGAAAAGGCCAGAAGTGGCACTGTGACTCAAGTGGTAAAGCAGTAGCCTTGAGCTGAAGAGCTGAGGGACAGCGCCCAGGCTGAGTTCAGGTCCCACAACCAACAAAAAAAGATCATGGGTGTTATCTATAAGTTAAACTCCTGGGGTGGCTACTCTATGAAGAGAGATTTAGCTCACACGTTTAGAGGTTGAAAGTCCAAGAGTGGGCAGCCCCACTTGGCCTTTGGTGAAGTCTTCACAGCAGAAGGTATCACAGTGTATGAAGTGTGCAGGAGGTCAAGATCAGACAATGAGATGGGAAAGCAGAGGTTCAGGGGTTAGGCATGGTTGTTTATTTAATGACTAGCTCTCAAGAAAACTCACTCTGCTAGAGCACCATTAATGCTTTCCAACGGCACTGCCCACGTGACCTAATTATGTGGCACTGGATCCCCACTCTCAAGCTCCCACTGTTGGAGACCAAGCTTCCCACACACAAACCTCTGAAGGACAAACCACAAACCATCGTAGTGACCTTACCCCCCCCACACCAAAAAAAAAAAAAAATAGAAACTTTGGACAAGATTTGTAAAGAGGGGCTGGGAAGGTGGCTCAGTGGTAGAGCGCTTGCCTTGCATGCATGAGGTCCTGGGTTCAATTCCTCAGCACCACATAAGCAAAAAAAAGCCGGAAGTGGTGCTGTGGCTCAAGTGGTAGAGCGCTAGCTAGCCTTGAGCTGAAGAGCTGAGGGACAGTGCCCAGGCCCAAAGTTCAGGCCCCACAACCGGACCCCAAAAAAAGAAAAACACAAGACTTGTAAAGAAAAGGCATATATAAATATTAATAGTCAATAAACATTAATGAAAATGCAAATACAGAGACCAACTCATGAATGAAATCTAGTAGTGTTAATCATTTTTTCTTGTGATGATCCTGGGAATTGAACTCAGGCCGAACACTGTCCTTAAGCTTTTTTTGCTGAAGGCTGATGCTTTATTACTTGAGCCACATACCTCCACCTCCAGCTTTTTGATGGTTAATTGTAGATAGAGGATTCACAGACTTTCCTGCCTGGGTTGGCTTCAAACCGTGATCTCAGCCTCCTATGAATAGCTAGGATTACAAGCATAAGCCACTGGTCCCTGAATGGACCAAAGATCTTAATGGAAGATCTGAATCTTTGAAACTACTACACAAAAACAGGGAAGCCAGGATACCATCCATGTTCATTGCTGAACTATTCACAATAGCCAAATTGTGGTAACAGCCTGGATATCCTAATAGATGAGTAGACCTGAAAAATGTGCCTATTGACAATGGAATTTTACACAGCCATTAAAAAGAATAATAGTCATTTGCAGGGAAAAAGATGGAACTAGGGCAAATCATGTTGAGTGAGGTAAGCCAAGCTCAGGAAGAGAAATGGTACATGTTTTCTCCCATGTGTAGACGCTAGATCTCAAATGCCAGAACAGGAAGTGGCACAAGTGGTAGAGCACTAGCCTTAAGCAAAAGAGCTCAGGGACAGGGCCCAGGGCCTGAGTTCAGGTCCCATGACTAACCTGCCCCCCAAAAAAAATCAAAGTGAACTCCAGGAAATAAAAACTTTTGGGGGAACAAATGCAGTAGTGGTACTCATTAGACATGCTGAAAATGAGCTACATAATTGGTGGGTGAAGGAAAGGGAAAAAAATGAGGGAAGGGGTGACACCCAAAAAGAAATTTACTTGATGTATGTAACTATAACCCCTCTGTACATCACCTTTATATAATGATTTAAAAAAAAACAGAACAGGCGATTATTTTTTAAACTGGAATTCCAATTGCTCAGGGAATAATTGATAAACGGGTTTTCCTCACATTAAAAAGCTACACATCAAAGGAAACAATAACCAGAGCCAAGAGTCAAGCCACAGAATGGGAAAAAAATCCTCACCAGCTAGATATTCCAGGATTAGTATCCAGAATATACAAAAGAGCTAAAAATTTAATTAATAAAGGGCAAATGAATTGACAATTCTCAAAAGAACTAATGAATACATGAAGACATGTTCAGCACCCTTAGTCACAAAGGAAATGCCAAAACACTGAGATTCCATCTCACCCCAAGATACCCAACAAGAACACAAAATCGCTGAAGAATAGGAGGAAAAAACACTTGTCATGTGCTTGGTGGGGATGTAAACTAGTACAACCAATATGAAAATCAGTATGGAGGTTCCACACCTTAGGACTATGCCATAGCAATCTTGGTCATAGATCAGAGAGAGTGTAAATCAACATACAAGAGATCACCTGTGC